AAGGATCTTTAACAGACTTGTTTTATTGAAAAATGAACGAACAATGGTGATGTAACGGAGGCAATGTTAACATGTACACCAAGAATCACATGTCTGATGCATATTGTTTGTAACATTTAAGACAAGATTTTTCACACAAAAATAAAGTTTAAAAAACAAAACAAAAAAAACTGCAGGCACTAAAACCACTTCTGATCATGTAATAAATGTGTAAGAACATAAGCTTGCTCCTGCCAGGCTGATTACCTTTTATTTTTAGAAGATGGCAATTGCACAGGTAAAAAGTATTGTGACTAACACACCACATCTTTACAAGAGGTAAATAAAATATCCTTTACATATTGCAAATAATTTCACTTAACATAGTTTACAATAATAGATATGCAGCATTTAAAACTCCAATTATCCATTGCTCTTTATGCTGCCCGACTGCCCTGGCACTATGCTGCATATTAACACTGTACCAGCCTTAGCATTATTGATCTGTTTAATTTCACTGCTGTAGTTTTGTTTAGTGCCAAACAAAGCATGATCAGCAAAACAAGAGTAGAGAACAAGCAGATACAGATCACAGAAGCAAAGCTTTCTAACTTGCTGTCATTTCTATACCAATTACATCCACATAGGGACAGGGAACGTCTGGCATTCAATACTTGTAAACAAAGTTTCTATGATTGATGGATAGAACAGATAAGAAAGACAGATATGGTGCCATAACCACTTCAAAATAATGCACATTTTTTTTCCCCCACTGGTATCCAATGCTAGTGTGACAGCAGTGTCGGGATGTGCAAGTTCAGTGGAACGTTCCCTCTAGGCAGTGTCTGGAAGTCAATGGGCCCTCAGAGATTGTCAGACCCTATAGCAGATAGCTGCATCTGCCAAAAGTCACATCAGTGGCATCAACGCCTCCTCGGTTATCAAAAAAAATAGCTGGTATCATGCTTACGAAGATACCTGGTGAGCCAGTGAGCGTTCTAACCAAAACCCAACAAGATAATATATGTATCCCTCAGGAGACAGCAAATATCTGAGATGCTTACAAGTTACGCCAGCATGTTCAAATGCCCAATATGTGATTTCAAAGGACTGTAAGCAGAAAATTGGTGGTGTGTCATGTAAATTTGCCATGAGTCATAAAATATTTTTTTTTCAATACCTGAGCTCAGTATCTTAGATTTTAAAAGGATTTTGATAACATATTTGTTCTGCCTTCCATATCTTCTATGTCTTGTAATGTTATAGAAAATAACGATATATGTATATAAAGAGCAATAGATTTCAAGAGGTTGCTGTGTCTGCCTGACATTAAAAAAACAATTGGGGATAAACATTCCAAAATGCACCCCAAAATAAAGGGACACTCCAGTCCCCAAAAGACATTAACTGCATGTCCCATCTGCCTTATTTTATATTATTTTATTTTCAAGCGAATATCCCTATTTATTATTGTTTCATATGTAAATATATTTTGAAGTCAAGGCCAACTCCCTTGGTTTTGCACTGCTTCCTGTCACAGGTGTCTCATTCCAGGGCTCTATTTAACCTTGAACTGCAGAGAGCCCAAGGAGAAAGGATTTCCCACGTAAGTCTATAGGCACCCAGACAGACACTAGAAGCACTTCCTGGTGGTTAGGCAACTTTTGGTCGCCTAACCGGACACTGGACGTCCTCACGCTCTGCTTCAGGACATTCAGCGTCCGTCAATTCCCCAAAGGAAAGCAGTGGTTTAATGCTTTCCTAAGAGGAGGGCCTAATGCACTTGCGGTGTTTGCGCTGATGTCAGAGAGGACGGAGCACCAATCCTCGATGCTAGAGTTGGGTAAATAGGGGGGAGTATTTGTATTCCTAGCACTATAGTATCCCTTTAATCTCATAAGAGCAGGCATTAGGTTGCTAGGATAGGACCTGCCAAAAATAGGGTACATTGGCACTGTGGCAGAGTTTTGCAAAGTATGATAATTCTTTTGGATCAACAGCATAAAAGAATGGGATTTAAAGGACCACTATAGGCACCCAGATCACTTCAGCTTAATGAAGTGGTCTGGGTGCCTGGTCCAGCTAGGGTTAACCCTTTTTTCTATAAACATAGCAGTGTCAGAGAAACTGTTATGTTTATATTAGGGTTAATCCAGCCTCTAGTGGCTGTCTCGTTGACAGCCGCTAGAGGGCTTCCGCGCTTCTCACTGTGATTTACACAGTGAGAAGACGGCAGCGTCCATAGGAAAGCATTGTGAATGCTTTCCTATGGACTGGCTGAATGCGCGCGCAGCTCCTGCCGCGCATGCGCATTCAGCCGAAGAGGAGGAGAGGAGGCGGAAAGGAGGAGGAGAGCTCCCCGCCCGGCGCTGGAGAAAGAGGTAAGTTTAACCCCTTCCTTCCCCCTCAGCGCCACGGGAGTGGGACCCTGAGGGAGGGGGCACCCTCAGGGCACTATAGTGCCAGGAAAACGAGTATGTTTTCCTGGCACTATAGTGGTCCTTTAAGGTTGATCTTGATACTTTAAGAAACACTGTAACACTATAGAGTCCCTCTGACTCCCCTCCCCATCCCAAAGCAGTTAAAGGGTTCAAAACCCTTTAAACACCTACCTTATTCTAGTGCCGAGGACCTTTGACACTTGCTCCATCTCCAACATCCTATGGTGAATTTGAAGAAGCTGGATGTCCACAGGCACAGCATTAAAACATCCAGCGTAGTTTCATGGAGTTAAACTCAGTTACAGGTCTAGTAGACAGCTATGAGAGGCAGTCTTAACACTGTAACATAAACATTGTCTGAAATTGCAATTTTTTTAAATTGCAGAGTTAATGGGACAGGGTCTGTGCACCCAGACCATTTCAATGAGATGAAGTGGCCTGGGTGCTTATAATGGTCCTTTAAAACTGCACTCAGAACACCCAAACCTCATTGAAGTGGTTATGATGTAGAGTCTTTCGGTGCTGTCGCCGAGGTTTGTTACAATTTTGAGCAGTTTGACAAAATGTGTGGCTCTCCTTACATCTAAATAATGGCCCCAGCACTCTAAGCCTATTGTTGCCATCCAGTGTTGGACAGTTAATGCGTATATTCACTTCTGCATTAGCATTGATGCAACAAAAAAGCCACGGTTTTGAGCTGGATAAGTCCTACATTTGAGGAAACTAGTAGAAAGATGGAGTGACAAAAAAATAAATAAAAAAAGGCTCTCATGCTCTTTCTGCAAAAAGGCTCTCATGCTCTTTCTGCACTACAGCCATAAAAATAAGCTATAGCTGTATTGTATATTATCACTATAATTTATTGAATTAGTATACCGGACAATTAGTTTAGGAATTTTAGCAAACTGTGATTGATGGGGTGCCTGTAGATCTATAGCTAATGTGGGGTTAAAACTCCTATTACTATAAGCCAGAACAGGGTAATAATGTATAGTAAGGCACTCCTATCACTATAAGCCAGAACAGGGCAATAATGTAAAGCAAGGCACTCCTATCACTATAAGCCAGAACAAGGCAATAATGTATAGCAAAGCACTCCTATCACTATAAGCCAGAACAGGTTAATAATGTATAGCAAGGCACTCCTATCACTATAAGCCAGAAAAGGGTAATAATGTATAGCAAGGCACTCCTATCACTATAAGCCAGAAAGGGGTAATAATGTATAGCAAGGCACTCCTATCACTATAAGCCAGAACAGGGTAATAATGTATAGCAAGACACTCCTATCACTGTAAGCCAGAACAGGGTAATAATGTATAGCAAGGCACTCCTATCACTATAAGCCAGAACAGGGTAATAATGTATAGCAAGACATTACCAGCTGACCCACTGTTCTACAATAGTCACCAGTCAGGGATGGCCAAAAGGTAGAACGACAAACCCCACCCTGCTTTACAAGCCAATGGTGGAGTCCCAATTAATGTGGAACTACAACTCCCATAATCCTTTGGCAGTTATTTTGGTCCACACCCTTTCCTCTGCCTCCCCAAACCCTATACACAAGCCTTGGGTTTATTTTTTTTAACGGTCCCACATAATATGATCCTTCTCTCCTCTTACACCGAATACTCCCTGTATTTTCTGTATAGGATGCTCTCAGCCCCCCGATATCCTCCCCCCTCCCCCCGGTGCACCCCGAACATGTCCTCTCACCATCGTACAGATCGAGGCGATCTTCCGGACGGTCATCAGTACGTCCATCCGCTCTCCTCCGCCGCCGCCATGATGATGAACCGGAGCTCGGCCCTTGACAGCCGCAGCAGGGTCACCGGGAAAGCGCTCCGCCCGCCGCTGTGCACGATTCAAAACAGTCCTATCGGAAACATAGACAGGAGCAGCAAGGTTCCGGGCAGAGCTCTGAGTACCGCGCGCGCACACAGGGCGGGGATGCTGTGACTGGGGCACTGACTGCTGTGCTCAGCTGAGTGTCACTGCTGCCACGTACGGACCACGTGCCGGTCTGTGCCGTCATGCAGTGCTGGGCCTCTATGGCCACTGACGGCATGGACCGTCATGCAGTGCTGGGCCTCTGTGGCCACTGACGGCATGGACCGTCATGCAGTGCTGGGCCTCTGTGGCCACTGACGGCATGGACCGTCATTCAGTGCTGGGCCTCTGTGGCCACTGACGGCATAGACCGTCATGCAGTGCTGGGCCTCTGTGGCCACTGACGGCATGGACCGTCATGCAGTGCTGGGCCTCTGTGGCCACTGACGGCATGGACCGTCATGCAGTGCTGGGCCTCTGTGGCCACTGACGGCATAGACCGTCATGCAGTGCTGGGCCTCTGTGGCCACTGACGGCATGGACCGTCATGCAGTAATGGTACCAGCAGGGGTTAAAGCCCAGCTGGTACTAAGGACCTCTGGGATTAAAATGGATCTACCATAAATGTGTTTAATAAATATAATGCCCCCCATCCAGCCTGGCATTGCCCACCCTGTGTAAGGGAGAAGCCCAGGGTGTTTTCTGAGCCTGGGGAGGGCTCCCTAGTACTGGCATCAGCAAAGGGAATCCCTTGGGAGGTGGGTTTAGGACTTGGATTATGTGTAGGAGTGTGAGTAGGGTTATGGAGAGCATCAGAGATGGATTATAGGCCGCCATCAGGGCGTGACAACAATGACCATGAATGGTCCTGGGGGGCCCAGACTGTGAATTCTCAATGTGCACATCCCCGGCTGCCTGCATAGTGAACAGGGGGCCCAGCAAACGCCATACTCCGTTTCCAACAGACCCTGGCCCATCAGAGAGTTGCCGCAGGTTACCGTGTTTAATGCTCCGCGTGGCACGCATGCCAGGCTCGCCAGAGTTGGAGAGAGGAGCCGCTGTAAACTATAGATGGCATTTGCCAGGCCCCCTCCTCACTATACTGTGCCTGGCAGCCTGCACAATACTACCAGACCACCAGCGAGTGTAATGCCCTCTCTGCCTGGCCACAGGTAAGAGGCAGGGAGGAGGGAATAAAATTTAATTTATTAAAATATTTTTTTTTTTAAATAAGCTTTGGGGTAGGGTACCCTACCCTACCCCACATATTTACACCCACTACACAAACACACATTGCATCCACCATTACACAAACACACTCTGCATTGAATATACACACACTGCAGACACTACACAAAAACACACTCTGTATTCACTACACACTACACCCACTACACAAATACACACTCTGTATTCACTACACACTACACCCATTACACAAACACACACTCTGTATTCATCACACTACACGAATACACACTTCATCCATTACACATACACTACATTCACTAAACACACACTGCATCCATTGCTATTTTTGTCCTTTTTTTTTATTCTTTACAGATTACTTAACTCACGCACATACACACCGTGACGGATCACCTGGCACCCGACTGGGTACCTCCGCTAATCTATGCTTCCTAGCTGACACTGAGGACCATAAGCACCGTAGACCCACAAACCGCCGCAGCTTGGTTGTGGTCTCGCCATCCCTTCCCGTCCTGGACCAGACTCCTGGATCCAGGGACTCAGTGGGAAGGCCTCTCCTCCAAGAGAGTATACCTGTGAAGCTCTTATAAGAGCTAGTAGTATCGCTGTATAGCAGCTTCCCTATAATCACCAGACCATGCCTCACTGGCCTTTTATGACAAACCCCAATCATAATTTTTGATGATGTCAGCAAGAAGAGAATCAGGGGCGGGACCAGCGTTACGCTGGAAATAAGGTAAGTTTTATTACCTTTTAAGGGGGGACAAGACACCTACATTGTGGTTTTAACACTAGGATCAGGAATACATGTTTGTGTTCCCGACCCTATAGTGTTCCTTTAAATGCTTGTCTTGTTGACCTATTGTACAGCACCGTGGAATATAGTGTCACTATATAAATATGTGTAAATGTGTATTTGTAGCTCAGTGTGTGTGTTTCTTGTAGAGTGTATGTGTGGCAGTATGTATATGATTTTTTGTGTGAGTGTGTATCTGTGTGGGTCTGTCTGTCTGCCCGCCCTTTCTGCTCTTAAAAGGTAATAAAACTGACCTTATTCCCTGTGTTGTGTGGGTCATCGGTCCTGCCTCTGATCCACCTTCTTTGGCTCACATAATCAGAATTGATGATTTCAGACAATCCAATGCTTTCCCATGGTGTAAGTATTGGATTGGCAGAAATCGTCAAGGAGGTGGGACAAGGGCAGGGGCAAATGCTGGCATGATCAATCAGCACCTCCATATAGAGATGCATTGATTCAATGCATTTCTATTAGGAAAGTTCAGTGGCTCCATGCAGAGGGTGGAGACAGGGCCGGATTAACATAGGGGCTGATGGAGCTGCAGCTCCAGGCCCATGGAATAGACCCATTTAAAAATAAAAAAATAAAAATAATATTTTTTTTAATTTTTGCACACTACTCTTAGGTTTGCCACCTGACTGGTATTATTTGAGGCTGACTGGCCATGCCGGTATTGTAGTAATACCGGCAATACAAATGCAGATAAACTGAGATTACTCTGCAATACCAGCACCAGGCAGTAGGCTCACTGATCCGCTGGGAGACAGCAGCTCCCAGCCTGCAGAGACAGCCTTCAGCTCAGAGAAGTGATGGATGAGGGGAAAGGCAGCAGGGAGACATGGGGACACTGAGACACTAGGGGACACTTGGAGACCTGGGGTCGCTGAGACACATGGGGACGCTGTGAGACATAGGGACATTGGGAGACACATTGGGACACGGAGTCACTAGGGACACAGTGTTCCCTAGTCTCCCAGTGTCCCCATGTCTCTCAGTGTCCCCAAATGTCTGTGTCCCCATGTCTCCCAGCCAGTGTCTGTGTCCCCAAATGTCTGTCTCCCAGTGTCCCCATGTCTATGTCCACAAGTGCCTCTATGTCTCCCAGTGTCCCCAAATGTCTGTGTCCCCATGCCTCCCAGCGAGTGTCCCTAGTCTCCCAGTGTCCCCATGTCTCCCAGTTTCCCCATGTCTCCCAGTGTCTGTGTTCCCATGTCTCTCAGTGTCCTTAGTGTTCCCATGTCTCTCAGTGTCGGTGTGTCCCTAGTGTCTGTGTCTCCATTTCTCCCAGTGTCCCCAAATGTCTGTGTCCCTATGTCTGTATTCACAAGTGCCCCTGTGTCCCCATGTCTCTGTATCCCCATGTCTCTGTGCCCCTGGGTCTCTGTGTCCCCAGGTCTCTCAGTATCCCCATGTCTCTCAGTGTCCCCTAGTAGCCTAGTGACACGGGACACACCAAGACATGGGGACACTGGGAGAAATGAGGACACTGGGAGACTGGGCGACATGGGGACACTGACACTGTGATACATAGGGACACTGATGCCAAGCTGGCTTTCCAATTCTTTGGACAGACATGCCCCCTTTCTTGGGCATGTTCGCCCCTTTTCGCAGTTCTGGTCACGTGATTTGCGTCACTGGCCCACCACCCCGCCCATTAACTTCCTTCTTCACTGGACACTGCTGTTAGGAGGTATGGATTTACTTGAAAGATGAAAGCATAAATTAGAGAGAGATTAGTATAATGGATGTGTTTTTCTGATAGCTGCATCCTTTGAGTTTCCCTCCAACACCATCTCCATCAGATACATGACACTTGGGAGGTATGACTGTTTTAGTGTTTTTGATCGATAAGATTCTGTAATTATCATAATTGTCAGGACCAGGCCCACTGGGCTCTTAATCTGGCCCTGGGTGGAGACACTGAATGGCACTGCCCCAGGAAGCACATCCAGTGGCCATCTGAGGAGTGGCCACTAGAGGTGTCCCTAGGGGGCAATGTAAACACTGCCTTTTCTCTTAAAAGCTGTAGTTGTTCTGGTGTCCCTGTAAGTTATTGGTAAGACATATGATGAAGAATGGTGGGAGAAGATGTCAATCATTGTTCATTATGTCTTCAGAAACCCTCAGTGGCATTGTTTTCTCATAAAACATGTTTAATTGTTATGTATTATCTCTCTAAATGTCTATATAATATTTATTATATCATATAAATAATATGCATGTGAATCAAGTAAAAAATAAATACAAAAAGACAATGATAGGAGCAACCACAATCACAAATTCTACCAGGAACAGTTTTTCAAAACCAAGACTTTGGAGCACTAAATCCTAACTAATCCAGGGACGAAGTAGTTGTTCTGTCAACATGGCTGACATGGTGATTTTTTTCCTCCCAAAATTCAGGCCTAAAATTATTTGCAATTCCTTTGTGAATTCCAAACATATTTTTGTAAATAGCCTTTATTATTTTGTCTTGTATTATTGCATTGAAATACAACATTATTTCACATTACTTGAATAAAAAAAAAAAACTATTCAATAGGGATAAGCATTAATACCGGTACGAACACATTTTGTCAGTAGCATTTCTTTCAATTCTCTTTATTTTAGAGGGTGTTGGAACTCTGATCAGTTTATAAGAGCTAATAAAATTAAAGGAAATTTGAGCTCATTTACTAAACTGGGAGAAAATTAACAAGGTAATTGCAAATATCATAATATAACAAGCAAGTAATAAAATGTATAATGTGGTATAATGTGTTACGTTCTTGCCATGGATACTCTTGGCAGGTTGAAACCCGGACAAGCATTTATGCAGTTATTCAAACTAAACCCATGTAGTTTATTTTACTTGCTTACTCATTCATAAACATTATTACACACAGTTGTGGTGCCTCTCTCTTTTAGATTATACCAGCATGTTCCAGGAATGAGGATCAGAAAATGTATGCCTTCTAATCTTACCGCGAATTGCCATAAGCTATGAACTTGCTTATTCGCCATTGCTTGTGAGTGTGTTTCTGTCGTGCATATTTACATTATTGTTCTGCGTGTTTCTCTTTTCTTTTGTATTGCATATTCTGTCTCGCCTGTGTTTTTACTTTTCCAAGTTTAGAATTGTGAGAATTTGCATGCCTCAGCAACATTGCACAATCAGTGCCTACAGTTCTGTCACCTGTTTAGCACATTGAGGCATGTAATGAGACTTTTTAAACACTCTACACATAGTGTTTATCTTTGTCTCTGCTTACTTTACCTTGCAGAGTTTTTTGTTTTAATGCTAACAATGTTACATGCAAAATCATTTAAAGGGTTACTCCAACCACCATGTTCCCTTCAGTGATTTGAAGTGGTGATGGTGGCAAGAAGCTATATCTGCATTGTTTCTGTTTGAAACGCTGCACATCCAAAGGCTTGATCACTTTTGTGCCGGGGGCTAGTTATACCTCTGAGGCATGCATGAAGTAGGCAGCTTGGAACTCTGTTCTAGGTTGCCAAAAATCACACAGCATGCTGACAAAAGATGTAATCAGCGTCTGCCGAGTATGCTTCACTCCTTCCTCCATAACAGATATCATTCTTTTTTGCTTATCTCATCTCCAGTCCCTTTTTCCCTCCCCTTGCCGGATCCAACTGCATGTGTGTGCTCTGAGCCCGCAAAATGGTCTGCTCAATCTCTATGAGAAGCCTTTGATTGGACCATGCAAAGTCCTTGGTAACATTGGAAGAGGTGTGAAAGACATTGCTGGGAGCTCCACCCAGGTCTTGATTCCATTTCAGCTTTTATTGCTAAATTTGGGGTAAGGTGCGGAGGGGGGGGGGCAAAAATCAGTGCCAGTTGGGCATTTTAAATTAAACAGAACTTTTTTTTAAAGTCTGACCATTTAAATGTGTGGCTTAGATTGTAATCACACTCAACAACTAAAAGGCCTATTCAACTTTTTCAATTTAATTCAATACCAGAATGCACATATAAGACAGCAGTATGACATGTAAGACAATTGTTCATTATGCAGTAAACAGACAATAGTTAAAGGGTTATTCAAACCAAAAAAACAATTTTTAAGAAAACACTGTTTTTGGTTAGAGTAACCTTTGCTTATTTTGGTTCTGCATGGATGGGACATGACAGCATTTCATACTGTTAATCAGCATAAACATTTGTAAACATGTACTGTGAACCCAACACAGTAGAGCTTGTTCTGCACATTTTATATTAATTATTCAAGCTAGAGAAACACAGTGCTAGTGCTGGCTCATAGACGATTAACAGGCTAGAGATGAGACCTAGGCACTGGTTGTATAAACAGAGTGAGAGTAGAGGCACTTTGCCTATGAGTAGTAGGATGGTAATGTTATTAAGAGCGTAAGGAAATGGCGTGTCCTGGCGGCGGTACCGAGCGGTCGCATGTGCTGAGCGCTCCGCTCCGACGGCACCCACAGAGGAGTAATTTGGCGGCTAGCCACGAAAAAACGGGGCACCATATACCCCAACGAGCATGTCACAAAGCAAGGGGAAAAGGCAGGCGGAAAAAACGGACCGGAGTGCATTTTTTGCCGCACGGACACACCAGGGGAGACAGGCCTTGATGCAGGATGAGGGCCAAGATGGCGCCGAGGAGACTGGTGAATCACTGCAAACAGACACAGTGGCAGCTGGCCCCCTCACACAAGAGGTGATGCAGACAATGCTAGAGCAAATGTCTGCAAGATTGGAGAATAGCTTCAAATCCACAATTGGAGCATTACATGATGACCTAAAAGAATTGGAGGTGAGAACTGCTGGGACTGAAGTTAAAGTGGCAGAGCTAGAGGAGGCACGCAGGGGGATGGAAGAAGAAATGGCAGGGTTACAAAACCGTATGCAGCAGTATGAGATAAAGCTGGCAGACATGGAGGACAGAGCCCGCCGCAACAACCTGCGAATTCGCGGAGTGAGCGAAGAGGTGGGACCCGCAGAGCTGGCGGCCTATCTGACAAATCTGCTGAAAGCGCTGGCGCCAGACATACCGCTAGACCTGCTGCTCATGGACAGATACCATCGAACCGCCAAACCCAGTTTTCTACCTCCAGACACCCCACGAGACATTCTCATCAGAATGCACTACTACCATGTGAAAGAATTAGTGCTACAAGCAAGCAGAGCGAAGAAGACGCTTCCAGAACCGCATGGGGGACTGTTAGTGTTTGCAGACATATCAACATACACGTTGAAACGAAGGAGAGAATTCAGAGAAGTCACAGAACAGCTCCGACGCCACAAGCTGCCATATCGCTGGGGATACCCGGTGAAGATCCTGGTGTCCAGAGGAGGGAAAGTGTCAGCTATCAACACGCCGGAAGAAGGAGCCCTACTGCTACAAAGATGGGGTCTCACTGAACCAAACCAGCAACGAAGCCCAAAGAGGACGCAAACCGCCTCCAAAGACTGGAGAAAGTCCAAGAGACTGACATAAAAGACTACACCATAACTAACTCAGATATACGAGCGTCCGCAGGAGCTGGTTGTGTGGCCGGTCCTGATAACTGGACCATGAAGTCAGCTGGGGGTATCGTATACTTGTTATAACATATGTTGAATGTTAATATCACACCCAGACATGTTAGGCATATGTGGAAATTGAGGAGAGGGAAAAAAAAAAAAAAAAATTTATTATATAGCTATATAATTTAATTGTATGCGTTTATATACAGGCATTTATACCTATGCGGGTATGCAGGTCACACAATGCTTCACCGCACCATACAGGGGGCATTAATACCAGGCTAAGCGCTAATACTCACAGACCACTTAGCAAGCCATAGAGTGGGTCGACTCGGGGTACACACCCCACAGGAAGGAAGTTCGGACTTCCCCCTCCACAGGTACCAGGAGTACCTAGGCCGAGAATGGCACACCTGTTTATTGTATATATGTTTTATATGTTTTCCCAGTTATTACCTTGTCCCACCCCCCACCCCGGTCTCGTGGAGACTTGCCACCCCATGTCCAGACCCCAATACCTACAGGGAGTACACACAGCTGATCCAACACAATGGGCCTCAGTCCCTGCAAAGGTACCACAGCCCACCTACCCATCCCTAACCCAGCGAGTGAATTATGCCCGATTCCTACCCTCACCTCAGGGAAGGTCGCTCGACTTGATGCTGCTGGGACGAGCGAACCCCCCGCATTGGTCTTTAATTCCACGGATGACCCTTATAAAAGTCATTGGGTATAAACCCCCATGAAAATTTTCTCTCTCAATGTAAGAGGGTTAAACCTACCGGTTAAGAGACACCAGCTATATAGAGAACTCAAGAGGACAGATGCGGACGTTATCTGTCTCCAAGAGACACACTACAGAACTGACGGTTATATCCCACCGACGACTTTGGACTACCCACACCAATACCACGCGACGTCCCCCACAAAGTCCAAAGGGACATCTATACTAATCTCTAAGCAAGTAGCATTTAACATGATCTCCGTAGAGGTAGACACCAATGGGAGATACATAATACTGAAATGCTCAATTAACAACATGACGTATACAATCACCAATATATACGCACCCAATACATTACAAGGAACGTTTCTGAGACAGGTGCTACAGAGAACTGAATCGATCCGCGAAGGAGTGTCAGTTATCTGTGGAGACTTTAATCATGTTTGGGACCCAAAACTGGACACTAACACTTCCCAACACAGCCCACGATATAAAATACTGCATAGACAGTGCAAAAAGCTACAGAAGACCCTCTCCCTACACCACTATTATGATACCTGGCGGATATCCCACGCTTCGGAACGTACATACACTCACTTCTCCCACGTACATAACACGTACTCGAGGATAGATGGGTTTCTCATACATGGCCAGAGCCTAAACCAAATCACAGACTGTGTCATAGGACAGATTACATGGTCGGACCACGCACCGGTTACACTGTCAGTAAGAGACCAATATGACTATAAACACCGCAGCCCATGGAGGCTGAATGCCTCCCTGTTGAATGATCCGTCATTCAAGAAAGAGGTAGAGGAGACCTTAACCAACTACTTCACTGAGAACGCTACCCCAGATATATCCCAGGGCACCCTATGGGCGGCACATAAATCTGTAGTCAGGGGTATCTTTATCAGGAGGGCGTCCTACTTACGTAGGAAATCCTCGGCCCAGACCACACAATGGCAGAAGGAATTGTACCAATTAAACACACAAAACCAAATCTCCCCTTCTGCTGAGCTAAAATTACAAATCACCACTATTATAAACAAGCTACACCAAAAAGCAATAGAACAAACAGGATATATGCTACAGAGGTTGAAAATTAATCAATACACGCAAGGGAACAAAGCTAGTAGACTATTAGCTAGGAGACTGCAAGAACGAAGGGCGAGCCAGAAAATAGCTTTTCTTGTATCCCATACGGGAGAGAAGAAAATGATACCCAGAGACATATGCAATGAATTTGCCAACTATTACGCCGACTTGTACAACATCAACAAACATGACACCACATTCCAGCCCACAGCGGAACACATAAATAAGTACTTGGACACAATTGATCTCCCAAGAATCACGACCCAACAGGCGACCGATCTCATTAGACCCATCACAGAGGAAGAACTCCATACCATAATAAAACAGCTACCTAATGGCAAAGCCCCAGGCCCGGATGGACTTGACAATGCATACTACAAACAATTCCACCACATACTGACACCCCACCTGGTGCGCACATTCACAGAGGCGACGGCGGTACAGAAATTACCACCAGACACGCTCTTGGCCCACATCATAACGTTACAGAAACCAGGGAAGCCTCCCACCACCCCACAAAATTTCAGACCCATATCCCTGCTTAA